CGCTTGGGGGGCATGGCATACCCGCGAAGAGAAAAAAAGCACACCCAAATCCAAACTCAATCACAAGAGTCGCGTGCAACCAGACCAGAGTATCTCGCGGTAATCACACAGATTTGATCCCATCTCGCGGAAACACAAGAGTCACGCGCAACCAGACCAGAGTATCTCGCGGTAGTCACACAGATTCGATCCCATCTAGCGGAAACCAAGAAGCACCCCCAAATCCAATCTCAACCCCGAGAGTCGCGCGCAACCAGCCCAGTACATCTCGCGGAGATCACGCAGACCCGAGCTAATTTCGCGGAAATCAAACAGGCGGCATCCGCGGAATACCACCTGATGGGGGGCAATTGTTGGGTATATGGCTCGGGTCTAGTCGTGCAAGGTCTAGTCTCCCTCTCTTTGTACTTTTTCTTTTCTCTCTTATTCTCATCAATCATGTCTCTTCTTTATCTTCGTCTTCTAAAACAGTGGCGGCCGGGAGAAGAGTGTTGACCTCAGCCAGGACTCTGTAGAAGAGAGGGAACCACGAGAAAACGACAACATTTCTCAATCTCGTCCTTCTAGCGAGTCGCTGGAGGCAGGGTCGGGCTGGAGCAGGCGAAGGAATGTCGAGACAGGGAGGGAGAATCGGCGACATTCTCGAGAAACGGAGCTCATCCTTCTCGTCCTCGTCATGGATCGTCACTCGTCAGAGGCAAGGGTAAGTTGGAGAAGAGAAGAGGAGCGGCAGGGTGAAACTGGAGAAAAGAAGTTCTTCGATTCGTGATTAGCGATTCGCGTTAGCTATTGAGTTTGGACGCGATTTTATTTTATTTTTCCTCGTTTCATAAGCGACGACTTTTCTTTGCCAAACTGGCTATTGCCGGCTGGAACAAAACCGGCGGCATTTCGTTTAGAACCGGTTAAACCGCCAAAAGCGGCCGGTATGGTATTTCTAGTAGCAAATGCATATCGTTTCATTTTTAGTCTAGTTATTGAACCAACCAGTACGATCTAGTTTCCTAGACCATAGATAGAATGGGCAAGAACAGGGCAGGGCAGGTTGGAAGTAGATAACCATGCATCGCCCCATCGCGGGTCAGGTCGGGTAATACTCGCCGAGGCGTGTTCAAATTGCCATCCCTACTCGTGACCAAGAGCAAAAGAAACATTGCCTTACTTATCAAGGTCCCATGTATGTTTATCTATGAGACCAATCAAAGATAAAATAGACTTTACTAAAAATTTATTTTTTATCTAAATTTTTCATATAGGACATTGGGGAGACAAATTTGATTTTGTGTATTAAATCAAGCGGAACGACAAAGAAGATTCATTCTCTCAATTTTTATGCATTGTCGTGGGTTAAATACCCCGATGGATCCAAGTATGGAACTTATGGTTAATACTGGTCAACTAGTGTTACAACTTGAGTATTCCATGTTAATTGGGCACTTGATGTATGCAATGACTTTCATAAGACCAGATATCGTATATGTAGTCTAACAATTAAGTTGGTGTATGAGTAATCCTAGTGCTCATCATTTGGCAATAGAATGAGGCGTGTACTAGGATATCTCAAAGGCACAATGCATTATGCAGCATTCATTGACTTATAGTGGGTTTTGTTGGGTATATGGCTTGGGTCTAGTAGCGCTAGGGAAGCATCCCAGCACCGCCCCAGAAGAGTCAGGCGCGCCAATACTACCACAACCAAGGCGCCCGCGCGAGGATCACACCCGCGCGGACGAAGACCCCAGACTCCGAACGACGACGTTTCAATTAAGCCTTGACCAGACCAAGAAACCAGGAAAACGACGCCGCGTTTACCAAAGAGTAGTCACATCATTGTCCTAGGTATAATCATAGTCAAATCTTCTAGTCCTAGGTAGAGGCATGGCCTAAACTTCTGACATGTCAGTAGTCATGTCACATTGGATAACTCACCCACCACCATGTAGCCTATACATATGGCATTTACTCCGGTGGGTGAGGGGATTGCATTTTTCACTCTCTCACCCTACCTACTAAGAACTTTATCTCTCTAAGAATTCTCTCTACCCAAACTCCCCTGCTACTTACTCTAAGAATCTCTTCTGCCCTAACTTCCCCGTTGCTTACTCTACTCACCCACCTTTCATCCGAGTCTCCCTCCTACTCTCAGTTAGACTCAAACAGGTTTCCATTCATTTTGGGAGGATACACTAATCCATGTTGATTTCTTTTGTTGAAGATCATACTTCAACATTAACATGAGTCCTCTTTCTTGGGGGAGGTGCCATCTCTTGGGCCTCTAAAAAGCATTCTTATGTTGAAGATCATACTTCAATAGTAAGATGAGTCCTCTTGCTTGGGGGAGATGCCATCTCTTGGACTTCTAAAAAGAAAACTTGAACCATTGGTTTCACTATGGAGTCAAAGTTTGTGATGGTTAAGAGACTTGGTTTATGAAATTCCTTTATGGTCGAAACCAATCTCAACTGTTACTATTATTTGAGATAGTAATGTTACTTTGGCTAAGGCATATAGCCAAGTGAAAATGACAAGTATGGTCATGTGGGAGTTAGTCACTATAAAATCTATGAATTGATCACTCATGGAGTTGTGTTTATGTAATGCGACCGGACTTGAGATCATTTAGTTGGTCATTTGATGAAATGATTAACTAGTGACTTGGTGGTCAAGTCTGTGAAAGGGATGGATTTAAAGTCCATCTAATTTCTGATAATGGTGTACCCTATTCCCCTATAATACAACATTAGAGACGGAATTCAATGTGGAAAGCTCATTATTAGAAATTGAAGAACACGATTTGTCATTCCGAGGTATGTGCTTGTTATCCTGGTTGAGAAAAGAGGACAAAGTTTAAAAACTTCTTAATTGAATCTTTGACAAAGTGTATTATGCGGGTACAAGAAAAGAGATTCAACCTACGTAAGTATGAAGTGCAACCAGTTCCAGAAACCCAGACTTTGGTTTTCATGTGCGCTTATGAGAAGGTTTGGACACATGGCGGGTATTCATATGAGACGGAATTCAATTTCTGATAATGGCGTACCTGATTCCCCTATAATACAACATTAGAGACGGAATTCAATGTGGAAAGCTCATTATTAGAAATTGAAGCACACGATTTGTCATTCCGAGGTATGTGCTTGTTATCCTGGTTGAGAGAAGAGGATAAAGTTTAAAAACTTCTTAATTGAATCTTTGACAAAGTGTATTGTGCGGGTACAAGAAAAGAGATTCAACTTACGTAAGTATGAAGTGCACCCAGTTCCAGAAACCCAGACTTGGGTTTTCATGTGCGCTTATGAGAAGGTTTGGACACATGGCGGGTATTCATATGAGTAGATGGGTTCAATCTTTACCGACACCAATATTCGAATATTTGTCAAGTATTATATGCTAAGATTATAATTCAATCGTAACGATATTTGCATTATGCTTAAGTTTTGTTTGAAGTATGTGTTAATTTTAGTTAATTCTCCTTATACACTAAAATGGGGGAGAAATGTTGGAAATTTGGATAACTGATCTAACAAAGGTATCGATTTGGTTGTTGGTAATCTGGTCTAAACAACAAAGTTTGGTTTGGATCCATTACACTAATATTAATTGTTTATAATTAAAAATTAGATTAAGAACTGGTGCATTCAAACTCAAAAGTTGTACTTAAACATGGTAAAACATGCCAGAAGTTGACGTTGCAATACCATGCAATACAACATCTGGATATAAGTTTGGATAAGCCACATTTTTAATATTAAGGGAAGCATCCCTTGGTAATGGACGCATCACATGGCAAAGGTGCCTTAACCGACCATAAATTCAAATCATATAAAAATGCATGTTCTTTCACCATGAAACTGTCCACTTGAAACAATGTGTTGTTTTGATCGTATAGAGTTCTCGAGCACTATAAATATGAGTGGTCTAATGGTGACAAATACAATAATATCTCACCTGAAAAGCGAACAACATCAACAATCAGTTACTGATCAAAATATGTTCTCAGAATAACTGTGTGAGTAGTGTCACCACGAATGAGAGATTCAAAAATAAAACTAAGTGTGGATGGAAAGGTCCCACTAATAACTCTAGGTTGCGTGTCAAATTTCTCATGAACTCCACTCTAAAAATTGCAAGCTAGTATATCTAACATAATAAACCAAAATAAAGGAGAGAACTTCCATGAGGAGAAACTGACCAAGTGGTAATACACGTGACCCCGTAGTATCAATTATAACTTCAGTAATCTTGTCTCCCAATGTCATCATCTAATATTGGTTTTCATGTCTTGTTGACCCAACTCTCCTTGGAGCATATCACCACTCACCTGCTGTAATAACTCCATCTCCCTTTTCCAATGCATTTGCGATCTGCATCGCATCATTTAGAGGGGCCCCCAAAGCTTCATTTGTGAGTGCATATTTCCAATGTTGACGTTGTTACTTCTTCAACTGGAGGGAGTTCCTCCTCCATAGCTACGGTTAGTTTAATACAATGGCAACTACCCCATGTCGTGCACATTTTGCAATGGATACAAACCTTGTCTAAGCCATACTAACTAGGCAATGGAAGTACTTAATACCATCAATCTTGTACGGAGATACAAGGGTCTTCATATGAATAACTTGGACACACACACATGGTTACTCACTCCCATTCCTCGTACTCGTGGCTTGACCCACATGAACGACTTTCCAATCTTCTAGGAAATCTTCATAACTGCATCTCAATGGAAATAACGTATGGGAAGCTCTACAAGGCTCGCCCAAACTAAGGTTGAAGGAATCTCCGTTTGATAAGGATCATTGTGAAACATGGTATAATGGTCAACCGCCATCCACAAACCCATGCTCCTAGTCTATTCAACTCATTCTTCATTTGGAGTCCTCGTGCCTTTCCCATATAAAAATTAAGTGATTTGATAGGGTCATATATGATACATACAGATTTTCCCAGAACTTTTACCGCGAGGGCTGATCGACATGGCAGGCAGAACTTCTGCTACTCTATTGCGGTGAAATGGATGGGCATGCATAATGGTTCGTCTTCCTCATCAAACTCTGCATCTCTGCTGTCCCAAACCCCAGTTTTGATTTTTTATGATCCTTGGGCACACCATGATACATTCCCTTATCTTGTATATCTTCGTCCATGTCTACCCCGACTTCTAGATTGGAAACCATGGGTTTAACATGTTCTTTTACATGTTGGGTCTCGTGCTCCCCTTTGGGATCATGGGAGGACGAGCTAATGGGAGGCAAGTGCTTTCCAGCTATTGCATCTGGTTGTGCAGGGTTCTGTTGGCTCTCTCCAACCAACGACAGATTCCTCGCTGGCATTCCCTTGAAACCTAATCTTAGTCACTCAATGAATAAAATTGCCACTGCAAAATTGTCGGAGCTCCTATGATAATAGATGGTTATGTTATTGACTCACACGGACTACATCGCGAATTAAATCCCTACTAGATCCCAAGCATAAACTCTAGGCAGGTGCAGTATAGGGCAAATATGTTTTAATTATCAAATCCGTGCCGATTCATGTACCCCTACTTCAATCGCTTAGGTTGTTATCTAGCAAACGGTTTTGGGTTTAAAACTAAGAAAACTACAAAATACACAAACACGGAAAGTAAATCAAGGAGAATTCTATATGAGAGGACTCCACTTGGGTATCGCTTCCTCTAGTCTCATGCTAAAAAACTAGTCTCATGCTAAGAAACAATGGATAAAAACCTAGCATGAAGGACATGTTAATACACCGTGAGACGGGTGCAACTAGCTATGAACAAGCTCTCATAGTCGATCGATCAAAGATTGCCACAATAAGCTATCGAACCTAGCTCTCTTGATCGAACAAACCGAGAAAACCCTTACTCTCTTAGTTGACCACTTAAGCATTGTTGCATTAAGTTAGTAGACTAACTTTCTTAACCTTTTGGCTAAGGATGACAACAATATGCCAGGCAATCTAGCCCTCTTAACTAACCAACTAAGGATTGCAAGACCCAACCCTCGGAAGTTAATTCCGACGGTGGAGATTTCAATCACGCCGAAATCATGATAATACTTTGATACTTAAGGTTTTGGCCCTAGATCAACCCAATATAGATTACCCAAGTGGCTAGGACTTAGGAGATCAAACTCCCTATGGGCCAAAAGGAGGTTTCCACATTCTAGGTTAATTTGACCCAATAATGAGATCATATAAGCAACACTTGATCATTCATGATTAATACCTCAAATATTATATAGAACACACAATCAACATAATAGAATCAAGTTCTTACATCCTAACACACATCTAGACTAGGATTCACAATACCCAAGTCATTAGGTAGGCTATTCCATAGCTAGGCAATTCTCCCTTGAGAAGAAGAAACCTTCAATCCTCTAGTTTAAGGGAAGCCCACATCTCCTTCTTCCTCCTTTGAATGACACTTTCTCTCTCTAGAATAGGAAGAGGAAACCCTAATCTCTCACGAGAAGCCCTCCTTTATTCTGAAAACTAAAACTCTACCAAAAGCTCCCTTATCTCCTTTAGCTCACTTCCACTTTTATACCCAGATCGATGCCTGTTCACGGTCCCAGTTTACAGCCGTGAAAGGAAATAGAAGTAAAGCCACTCATTATCAAGTATTTTTGTAGCACCAGTATATTCCCTATAGTGCACCCCATCATAATCATCAAACAATTCAAAGTACACTGAGCAAGATCATGCTTGGGACAATTGAGTTCGGAACCCCAAGAATTTTCAATAAAAGCAAGAATTTAAGTTCCTACACACATCTCAATATCGACCATACATCATTCATTCATTTACAACGGCTTGGATCCCTCAAATAGTAAAATATTGGCAATCACAAGGCTGCAAAACATTCAAATTGGCCATTCACACGCCAATTACAAATATATGTACACACCTCCCCTCCACACTTAAGCACGACATTGTCATCGATAGAGGAGAAATAAGGAGGGTAGAACGAAGTTATCGGATCAAGTGTGAACAATAGTGGAGGGACTAGTAGGACGGGCAAGACTCATCGAGAAAGTCAACAACCAAACACCACAAGCTTACAAGGGTTAAGTTGTTGAAGGAAAATGAAATGCAAACCAAAAGGTTGGGTTGCCTCCCAAAAAACGCTTGTTTAAAGTTGTGAGCCGGACGGTTGCTCTTAAGTCTCGTTCCACCCCAAAACTTCCTTGAAATTGAGGTTCTCGTTCGTGATGTGAAGGTGCAAGTTACCAGAAAATGGTGTGAAATGTGATGATGATGCATGACTCGTGGACTTGGTATGAGTTGAGGCTCCACCCACGAGACCCCTTCTTCTCTCTTCTCTTTGCCCCATACCATGTAGCACATTGTGGATTACCGCCATCTAATCCACCATGAGGGATCGATGGTGGTTTGGCCTTGGATTGGCAAAGAACCACAAACGGATCCTTCTCGAGTAGTGCGTGGAGGTCGGGTGGAAAGCTTTGGTAACACTCGCAACTCGTGGATGCTTCATCCACCTTGATCTCGTCCCCATCTTGGACGCCATTTTCTCCTTCAACCTCCCTTTCTTCCTCTAATTTGTTTCCCTCTTCTTGGAAACCATCAAGATCTTCCTCTTGTTTTACACTCACTTCCTCCTCTTCACCCTCTTCTAACATCTTCCCCTCCATGTCTTCAAACACGGTTTAGAGGGCAAGATATTGAAAGGGTTCTCTTGTTCCTCTACCCTCGTGACTTGGTCTTCAAATTTGGTCTTGGGAAGGAGAAAGTTTTGAGAGTTTTCAACGAGACGCTCCTGATCATCCTCATCACATGAGCTCTCTGGGGTGAGTTTGTCTTTCTCCACATAATCTTCATTGGTCTCCCTTCTTTATTGAGAACTTGATCATGCAGTGATAACACTTAAATTCATATATTTATCTTCCTAACACTAGGTGTTTTCATGCCACATAGAGACCCTCATTCTCAACACTTTTCAAAATATAATAAATAAGTTAATAAATATAATTAAAAAATAATATAAAATAATTAAGATATATATAAATAACTAACTAATGTAACCATTGTTTTCATAAACAAGCCAAACGCACTTTCTTATTATGAAAAAATACATTTTTTGTCTGCACATAAGTAAATCTCTTTCGATGTATCTCACTAAACAATCATTAGCAAAATGGTCGTCAATTCAACTCCAAAATTTGTTCTTGATGTAACTCAAAGCTGGAAAGCCTTTTTCTACACTTGCAGTTGTATCTAGTAGAACTAAAACTAGCTTCATAAGGTAATAAGCTGACAGATATGACTGATACACTTTTGTCACCACCATTACTCGAGATAATACATTGATTGTTTTCAATCCAGCAAATATCTCAGCAACCATAAAACCTCTTAGGGAGAAAATAGATCGGATTACAGATTTATTCCATTTTGAAATTTTATTTATAGTGTAATAGATTAATTTTGTGTCAATCTAAGAACACTCTTAAAATCTCAATGTGGTGGGTTTAATCCTTGACATAAACATACATAGGGGTATATATAATTTTTCCTCAAAAATTACATTTGTTCTGTGACAATGCCTAACCAGCCGAGAAATTTTACAATGCTATATAGTATTGGTGCTATAGGATTTTGCTTTTATGGTACAACTTAAAATTGTACGTTTATGTTATGGTACAATTTCAGACTGTACTTATACTTTTTGTACAAATTCTTTTATGGTACAACTTGAACTTGTACCTTTATGTGATGGTACAACTTCAAGTTGTAAAGTTGTACCATAACATAATGGTACAAATTGCTTTATGGTACAACCTAAACTTATACATTTAATGTTATGGTACAACTTTAAGTTGTACATTAAAGCACCAATACTATATAGCATAGTAGAAGTGCTCCTAACCAGCCTGCCTCCGAGTATGGGCTAGGGATGCCTAGTTATGAGTCCATACCACCATGGCATATAGAGAAAGCAAAAAAAAACTATTTCTGTAGGACATAAACCTTATACCAAACCAATATAAGCCCAACTTGACATGTTGATCAGAAGAGGTTGCCTATAAATACATCAGTTAGCATACATGATCGACTATCTTCTAGTGTGTTGTATGAATATGTCAATGAACTGCTCGCTTGTGGTCGTTGGATTGGCAGCCCTGATCTAGACGGTATCAGATCGTGACAGACAGAAAGCTCCATTTAATTATTATCGCACACAAAACATACTAACCCCTTTCATGCATGCAGTAATATATGTAGTTACTAATAATCAAAACCCTCCTACTCCCCTTCTTTATATATGGGCCGTAAAAAAGGCCGAGCATCATTTAAACCAACACTACCTCATCCAATCCTACAATTCCTCGCCATCAATCTTCTTTCAACTTCCAAAATAATTTCCAACAAATTAAAACAATGGAAAATAACAAAAGATGAGAAGACAAATAAAAATATCCCTACTTTCTCTCTCTACACACACGCCGTAGTCCCTCTTTCACCTCATGACTCTTTGATCCCCCCCAATACTTCCATCTTCTTTACCGCTTGTCATTTGCCACCCCCGCAAGGAAAAGAATAGAGAGAAAAAAAAAGGAAAACGAATAGAACCCATCGCCCTTTTTTTTCTTCCGCCCTCCCCCTCTCTCTCTCTTCTCTCCTTTCTCAGGGAGTATTATCATTGGAGAGAAATGGGGAATTGTTGTTCAAGGGGAAAAGAAGGAGACGCCTCCAATGAAGAAAAGGAAGAAGGCACGCAACAGCAGCAGGGTGGTAGCAACGGCGGAGGAGACGGATCCAAGATGGCACCACCGTCACCGGGCCCGCCTCACGCCTCCCCCAAGCCTTCCAAAAATGCCCCCATCGGCCCTGTACTAGGGAGGCCGATGGAGGATGTGAAATCGAGCTACTCCATCGGGAAAGAGCTCGGGCGAGGCCAATTTGGGGTGACCCATTTGTGCACGCACAAGGCGAGTGGCGAGCAGTTGGCGTGCAAGACCATCGCCAAGAGGAAGCTGGTGAACAAAGAGGACTTGGAGGACGTGAGAAGGGAGGTCCAGATCATGCACCATCTGACCGGCCAACCCAACATCGTCGAGCTCAAAGGGGCCTACGAGGACAAGCACTCGGTTCATTTGGTCATGGAGTTGTGCGCCGGCGGTGAGTTGTTTGATCGGATTATTGCAAAGGGTCATTACACGGAGCGAGCCGCGGCTTCTTTGCTGAGGACCATTGTTCAGATCGTGTACACGTGTCATTCCATGGGTGTCATTCATAGAGATCTTAAGCCCGAGAATTTCCTCCTCCTTAGCAAGGATGAGAGCTCTCCACTTAAGGCCACCGATTT